ATTTTACAAACTATATTTTTGTACAAAACTACACATCAACCAAACTCAAGAAATAATTTCTAAAAATGAAGCCTATTTATGTTCACATTGCTGCCGTAAATCCCAAACACTTCATGGCAGTTAATGGAATAATTCCTCCATCTGTAAACCTTTGGAAGTAAAAAAAAAAAAAAGTAGATGGGTCAGGCATAGAAGACATAGATGTAGATATTTATGTCCCCAGAGGGAGGAAATAATGAGTCAAGGAATCCCTAACAGTTTTGAAATCCAGGCAGCCAGATTCCATTAAGTAAACAGGCACAGGAATGCTTCTGAATGCAGTGGTTCTTATACTATACCATTCTAATCTCTTCTATAGTCACATCTTCCTCTGCCTCTCCATCTGCACCTCTCTTCTGCTTATACTTGTCATTAGGAATACATTGACACTTCTGGCATAATTCAGGATGATGCCTTATCTCTAGATTCCTACCTTATTCAAAACTTCCTTTTGACAAATATAGTGACATATTCAAAGGCACCAGAAATTCAGGCATAGATGGGTTAAAACCTGAAAGTACTCCCTAGAGTCAAAACTAATATTAATGTAAAAAAGAGAGAGAGAAATAAAAAAATTGTGGTTTCAATAGTGTAAACCTTAGTCCATTTTCTCTTCCTGGTGGAAATTTAGCTTGGACATATACCTGCTCAACTGACTCCATTTCCTAGCTCCCCTAGCAACTTAGTGTGGTTATGTGAGGGCTTTGTCCTGCCTGATGTAAGAAGCAGCAACTACATAGAGCCTGGGTATCTCTAACTTAAAGACAAGCCATCTACCCTGATTTTCTTTCTTACTCCTATTTCTTATCCATAGGTGTGCTCACTGGTCAGTTCTGACCATGAAACAGGCAATATCCTAAGGTAGAAGTTGGCAAAAATTTCTAGAATTGTTCAGATAATACATCTATTTTGGCTCTGTGACCTATTTGGTCTCTATCTCAACTGCTCTACTCTTGAACTGTTTAACAAAGGCAGTCATAGAAATACAGTAACAGAAGTGAGCAGAGCTGTCTTGTAATATAATTTTATTTATCACAACACATGGCAAGCCACATGTGATGGTTGTTTTCTCAAATCTGCTCTAGGGGCAGGAAAAGATCTGGGTTTTACATCAAGTCTCCAATAATCTAGATTACTGACTTCACAGACAATTTCATGAGAAAGATACAAATAACTATTTTCTTTAAACCACTGGGTATTTTGGAACTTTGCCATAGTGACTTTGAAATTTTGCCACAATGGCTTAATATTCTTTTTTTGGGGAGGGGTCTGGTTGTGGGGCCTGAACTCTGGGCCTGGGCGCTGTCCTTCAGCTCTTCAGCTTAAGGCTAGCACTCTACCACTTGAGCCACAGCGCCACTTCCAGCTTTTTTTCCTTTTGCTTATGTGGTGCTGAGGAATTGAACCCAGGGCCTCATGCATGCAAGGCAAGCACTCTACCACTGAGCCACCTTCCCAGCCCCAAATATTCTTATATTTACCTAGACATACACATTCAGTCAAGAAAAGTATTGAACTCTGAAGTCAAGAATTAGTGTTGTGAATGAAGAAATACTGTTACAAATAACTAAGGAAAAAATCAAATAATCTAATGGAAATGTAGGCAAAGGACAATGACAGGAAATCAAAGAGGAAACATGAGTAAATTCAAATAATGATAAGATAGAAACAAAGTTGAATAAAGGTTTTATTAAGTGCAGTTGTTCAACAACTGAAATAAAAGCAACACCAGGATATAGGTTTTCACTTATGAAACCAGCAAGAAAAAATGACTTTTATGGAGTGCATGAAAAAAACTTACACCACAGAGGCACAAACTGTTAAAAAAAATCTACGAAATATCTGACAGTAGATATTAAAACCATGCATTTTGTCTAAGCAATAAAATTTCTCAGAAGTGTATTCCAAGATGACTGTAAATACACCTATTATGCAGTATACATAATTGCTTCATCTTATAAAACAGAAGAAATCCCTTTGTAGCTATGCAGAAGTTCAATAAAATAGCATTGAATAAAAAATAAAAATTTTTAAACAAGATGGAAACATATTCTTGACATACTAAATGACAGTTATAAAATATATCCCCCAGAATCATAATCTTATTAAATAAAGCATGCACACACACCCAAAAGGACAGCAGGGATTGCTATTAAGAGAGGACAGCAGGATAAGGAATGATTTTCATTTACTTCAACAGCTTTGCCATAATGTCAAATATCTCATTGTATTTTGAATTACCTTGAATATCTGCAAATAAAATGTGAATCATTTATATTTTAAATGAATTTAAAACTAAAAACATTTGCAACTATCTAATTTATTTAACAGATATCTGTCATGTATCTAGTATTACTAGCTCATAACCATATAATCCCAATACTCAGGAGGATAAAGTAGGATAATTCCAAGTTCAAGCTTTACCTGGGCTATATAAGAGACCTTTCTCAAAAGGAAGGAAGGAAGGAAGGAAAGAAGGAAGGAAGGAAGGAAGGGACAGAGGGAGGGAGGGAGGGAGGGAAGGAGGGAGGAAGAGAGGAGGAAGAGAGGGAGGAAGAGAGGAGGGAGGAAAGGAGGGAAAGGAAAGGAAAGAGAGGGAAGGAGGGATATAGACACTAAACAAAGAAATAAGTAAATCAAGAGAAGAGATAAGAATTGCTGTGAAGAAAATGAGCAATTTTTTTAAAGTGTGTACACATGTTTTAGTAGGCAGAAAGCAAGCTTCTGTATAAATTTTACAAAGAAGAGAAAATTTGCTATCTCATTCTGGAGACTGAGTGCTGACTATCAAAAGAACTAAAAGATCCAAGACTAAATATCAGGACTTGATTCAATGAGGAGACTTTCACAATCATTAAGCAGTAATGGGAGAACAAAGGTGATATAAGGCAGGGAGTTGAGTGTTAAGACCATGATGTGAGTTCTGAGTACTGCTCCTTCAAATGCAAGGATGCTCATGAGCAAGTATAATCTCCATCAGATAATCTTCAACCCCTAAGTACACAAACTAAATAATATTTCACTAAAATTCAAAGAGTTGTTTTCCCTAATTACAAGAAATAATACTACACAGTTCAATTCATATAAAAACTTAACAAGTACACCTCAAAAGCTTGGTGCTACCTTTCAGTTTGAACCATATAAAGGACTGGAAAAATGTGATCCCTTCAAAGCTGGAGATTTATTCTCATTTGTCAAGCAATTGATTGTTTTCTAGGGATATATCTTCCTTAGAAAAAGCTAGCATTTACAATCTTTTACATAATTATAACATAGCAGAATTCAGGGCTTGCTAATTTTCCTTTTAACCAGAGTACAAATTTGTAAACCATAGGTTCTTGTTTTAAATACTGTGCCCAGTAGGAAATTTGGAATGATTGTTTTTACAGTCTGTATACTTTCTAAGAGTCTTAAGATGACAACTGAACATCTCTGACAAAGCACTTTAAAAGTGTGTGTGGTGGTGGGGGGGTGTTGTTCTACAGATACCTGTTGTATTTGCTTCTTTATTTGGAGATTCTGTTAGAAAGAATGTCTGGAATCCTGAATCACCTCTATATCACATTTTGGTCCAATGAGAAAATAAACAGTGAAAATACTAAAAGTCTAATAGCAACTTTTATGGAATCATATGATCATTTCCCAAGTTTATGCTCTTTACAAGGAAAGCCATCTATGAAGCATGAAGAAATGTGTCTCCTTTTGTTGGGTACCACAGTTCTACTACACAAGATGAATCCCCTGTGACATCTTACACATGGACATACAATGACTTGCTTCTAGACTCATCCAAATAATGATTAGAAAAAATTGAAGAACCAAGTTCAAAGGGATATAACACATCTTAGAAAACATAATACACTTTAAAGACAAGCATGTCAGTAAGTCTGTAGTCAACATTTTATTTCATTTTTAAAATTATCTTTAAGTCGTTGTACCAAGGGGTTTCAATTCAACATGTTATCTCTAGTTGTTTGAGGTTGGTCCATACTATGTTCCACAGTGACTGCACAAATTCAGATTTCCACCAACAATGCGAAAAGTTCCCTTTACTCTCCTCCCAGCACTACTGTCCTCTGTCTTTCTGGTAATGAGGAGTCAGGTGGTATCTCATTGTGGTTTTCATCCACATTTCCCTAATAATGAATGATGTCAAACTTTTTTTTTTCTGGTCTTCTTAACCAGGGCTTTTTCTGATGCGTTGCAATTGAGTTGTTTGGGTTCCTTATATATTCTGGGTATTAACCCAGCTACATTTTCAAATTCAAAATCAGAGAGAGAATTGACAGAAAGCATTTTCATGCAAAATATTGCTGATCTATTACTATGTGGAGAAACAGGTGTTTATGTATATATAAATTTACAAGATATACGTGCTTGATTCATTTCACTCACACTCAAGCAGCTAAAGCCAGCAGGAAGCAGAGAGGTCAGGCTTTGAAAATTTTGTGTGGAATGGACTTATCCAAACAAATGCAGCCATTTTGTATGCTTTAAAAGTTATTACATGAAAAGGCTTTAGTAGATCTTTTCTTTCGAATATCAGAAAGAAATGATGGTCAAAGCCACAAAGCAACAGTATTTAGCTATGTAATGCACAGCAGCATTAGGGTTACCAGAGCAGGCGTGTGTGTGTGTGTGTGTGTGTGTGTGTGTGTGTGTGTGTTCACACACTAGTCCTGGGGCTTGAACTCAGGGTATAAGTATTGTCCCTGAGCTGTTTTTCTCAATGCTAACACTTGAGCCACAGCTCTACCTCCAACTTTTTGGCAGTTAATTTGAGATAAGAGTCTCACAAACTTTCCTACTCGGGCTGATTTTGAACTGCAATCCTCAAATCTCAGTCTCCTGCATAGTTAGGATTACAGGGTTGAGCCACCAGCACCAGGCAACGTAGTGAGGCTTTTAAAGTCTCATTACTTTTGGTAACTTCTCCCAATTCTTCCATCATTAATTCCCCATTAGAGATTTTCAGCACTTTCTCCACACAGCAAATTTTCCCCATGCTGGTTTTGGAATGCAGGTTCCTGAGTGAGCTGCTCAGACGTATGTATGGCCACATTGTTTTGACATCTTAGGGCATAAGCTTCTGTGGGCTTTGCTCCTTTCTGGCAGAGCTGGATCTGGAAAGCATCTTGGAAACCACTACGAAAATTTTCATTGAAGAAACCATAAATGATGGGGTTGATGCTGCTATTGCAAAAGGCAAGCCAGTGGGCAAACGGGTAGATGTAGATGTTGATGACCCGCAGTGCCTCTGGAGAGAGGTCAGCATAGTCAGACAGCATCATCAGGGTCCACAGGGGCAGCCAGGAGAGAATGAAGAGCAAGGCCACTGTCAGCAGCATCTTGATGACCTTCTGCTTCTTCTTGGACACCATGTGCAATTGCTCCTGGCTCTGCTTGCCTGGGAGGGGCAGGGCTGTATTGAGGAGTACCATTCCAATCCTGCCATACATGACGACAATGAGAGACAGGGGAGCCAGGTAGATGGTGGCAAAGAGCACAGTGGTGTAGAACTTTCTCATTCCCTGATTTGGCCAGTCCTCATGGCACCAGTAGACTGGGATGGTTTTATTCTGGGAGCTGAGTCTCACTCGGTAGTATTTTTCTTCCTGTACGTGCAACATGATTGCAGATGGAGCCATGATAGTGATCGCCAAGACCCAGATGATCACAATAATGACAAAGGCTACTTTGAGAGTGAATTTGGGTTTAAAAGGGTAGACCACACATCGGAATCTGCAATGAAAAGCAAATATGTATGAGCCACTACCTCCCCATGTCTGCTCAGGTTGTGAATCATGTCTATTCAAGTAGCTAAGTTCTCCATCCATATTCACCTCCAAAGCATAGCAAGTTATCTGTAGCAGTGAAGTCCGCACTGTCATTTTTGTATTTGATATGTGTTTGAGCACAAGATTTGAACAAGTCAAGCATTTCAGGCACAATAATAATAATAATAAAATAATATTGGTAACTGGCATATACAGACTGTGGCACAGTCTGTTCCATTGGTTTGCATGGGTCATCACTTTAAGCCTCATTACTTAAAACACGAGGACGCAGATATAGAAAAGGTAAACATGTTGCCTGTTTTAGCACATAAAGTTTTAGCACAGGTTCGTTGGCTTGGTGCTGTTCACCTGACAGTGTGCCCAGTAGACCTTGAGCTCTATTAGGCTATTACAGGCAATCTCCTTCACTTTCTTGGCTGTTCCCCAAAACACTGTCTCTGTACTTGACCATGAAACCTGCTTTGGCCAATAGTAGGCAGAAGCTTTTCATGCACATTGACTTGTCCTTTTGGAATGTTTCCAACTTGCATATTCCATATTCCTAATTCAAGATGCTTGAATTAGGTGGGAGGCATGTAAGGAAAGGCCCTAGGGGATGGCAGGCTGACCATCTTGGCTGTTGCAGCCTCTGCTTAATTCCCAGGGTAACACCACTGTAACATGCGGAGCAGGAGAGCCACCCCGAGGTGCCAGCAACCAACAGAACCATGAGGAGCAATACAGCATTATTTGTTTTAAGCCACTATTTTGATGATTGATTTTAGAGCTTTGGGTCTAAGAGTTTCTATAACAAATTTATGAGCCTTTCAGATATTCTATGTCCTCTAGTGAACATGAAAATCCAGCATCAGCATGTAGAGTAATGTGTAATTCATTTCATTACTTTAGTTATTCTGGAGCTTCTTATAACTATATTGATATTTATTATATTGATTATAATCAACCTTTACTATGAAGCATTACTAGCATTTTATATATGTTCCAAGTGCTATTACTTTTTTCATCTTTGATTTTTCTTGATTACTCTACAAAATGAAATTTTATCAAAATTATCTTTCAGATCTGCAAGTAAAGAAATTTAGAGACTTAAGTGGGAGGGCAGAAACTTCCAATTAATTCATGTGGGATATCTTCAGACAATGCCTAGTTAGCTGGGAATCTGACTTCTCTGTTGTCATCTTTCATAAATCTTTCCTTTGCCAGGTCTTCTCTCTAATTATCAAGAGTCCTTCTAGTCTCCTAATCAGTGAGTTCTCCCATTCTTCCGCTTTGAAATTGTGAGTAATTTCAAAAGCACAATTGTAAGTATTTTGATTTTATGAAGATCAACTATTTAAAATATTGTTTTATCATTTATTAAGGCATAGGCAGACAGAAGAGAGGATAGTCTAGGTTGAGAAATAGTTAGTGAAAAAATTATCCAACAAGCACTAAAGTTGGACTAGGGTTTGGACTTTATCCAGAGAAATAGGAGATTCATTGAAAGATTTTACATGGCTAAGGGGAAGATTACTATTTTTATTATGGTTATTTACTTTTTTGTAATTTATTATTTATAAATAAACACATATTAAATAATAATTCATTATTGTTTTGGTGTTATTGGTGCCACCTCTGATAAATTAAAAACAGAATGAGTCAAATTAAATTTACTTACTTGACAAAAATATGTAAAACGCAATTTGAAACTCACGCTCTCTCTGGAAATCAAAGCATTACACCAGGTACAGAACAAATTAATCTGTACGTTTATGTATTAATTAACCTCATTTAAGTTTTTCTAACATAAAGATGAGGAGAAATATATATTTCCTTACTTTTTTACCCAAATTTAACAAACTTTCGGAGCTAACCACAACTTAAGCATTAGCAACCCAGTGGAAATCCCTTTGGCAGATAAACTTGTTCCTCTTTGCCTAGGAGTTCAGAAGTTGTTACACAGACATTCTCTCTCTCTTTCTCTCTCTCCCCCTCTCTCTCTCTCTCTCTGTCACACACACACACACACACACATATAGTTTTTTTGTTTTTTTTTGGGTCAGTTGTGGGGCCTGAATTCTGGGCCTGGGAACTGTCTCTCAGCTCTTCAGCTCAAGGCTGGCTAGTACTCTACCACTTGAGCCACAGCACCACATCTGGCTTTTTCTGCTTATGTGGTGCTGAGAAATTGAACCCAGGGCCTCTTGCATGCAAGGCAAGCACTCTACCACAGAGCCACCTTCCCAGCCCTGCTACCTATATTTTTATGCTTTTCAATTATTAGTCTTCATCTTTAGTGCCTTAAAATTTAGTGGTAACATGTTGTATATCTCATTACATAACCTCCTTCATTGAGGGCTTATCCTTTTGAAATGTTTGCATGTTGATCTATTTCGTTTTAGTCACAATACATCTTTTGAAAGATGTAGCACATGCATTAATTTTATTCTCATTTACTTTTTAAGATGAAGATCAATATTTCTTCCTAAATATGTTCAGGAGAGTAATAGAAACAGTAAAAAAAAGAATTGAATACTTAAATACTAAGATAGTCTCAGGATCTATGCTGAAATACGAGTAATAGTATAGATATTTATTCACTCTGAATTTATGCAATTATACAACTGAAGTATTCCATTATTACAAATATTCAACAAAACAATAATTTAGTAGAAGCACTACTTAGTAGTAGTAGTACATAAATAAAAGGTGTATAATTAACATAATTTAGCATAATTATAGGAGCAGTTACAGGGTATAGTGACTTGGGAAAACATTAAGGCTCAAATTTCATGATGATTAGTAAAGGTTTAAATTTTATTCTATTTACCTATTTACCTATATACCAAATAAAATGATTACCTGATAGGTCCTTGGGAATTGGGTAAAACATTACTCGAATAATGATACAAATAATAGCTCAATATTAAAAATAAAATCTAACCAGTTTGTTCTTTTGATATCAACAATTCCATTGTAGGGACTGGGAAGGTGGCTCAGTGGTAGAGCGCTTGCCTTGCATGCATGAGGCCCTGGGTTCGATTCCTCAGCACCACATAAGCAAAAGAAAAAAAAGCCAGAAGTGGTGCTATGGTTCAAGTGGTAGAGCGCTAGCCTTGAGCTGAAGAGCTGAGGGACAGCGCCCAGGCCCAGAGTTCAGGCCCCACGACCAGACCCCCAATAAAACAAAAAACAAAAACCAATTCCATTGTATTTCATACTTTTAACCTTGCTTTCTTTCTCTTTCTACACACACACACACACACACACACACACACTGCTGCTACTAGTTGGCATTTGTACTTAGTTGGACAGTTTGTCTTCCAGATCACTGTTTATATAGTTTGTCAGTATTTCTTCATGCCTACTCCTGCTGCCTTAATGGAGGCATGTAACCCCTCCCAGCTGTTTCCTTATAAAAGTTTCTTAACTATTCTCTTTCCATATCACATTACTCCAGTCCATCTCACTAGCTGCTGAAGAGTCTAGAATGATAGACAAATATTTATTTGTGTCATTTAAGCAAGAGACTAATAAATCTGTACGTCTTTGGGACAAGTTTTCACTCCTTAAAATGTGAAATGGGTCTATGAAAATCAACTGGTGTTCCCTAATATGCACCCTCCTTCCTATTCCCACTGAACTGTCTTTATTACCTAAACAAGCTTCTTTCAAGAGCTCTATGTAGGTAGATGCTAAGGCTTAAAAGACATTCTTTCCCTAGTATCTTCCTAAGGCAAATGTATAATTCCTTGAGATTTAGACAAGCTTTGTCTCTTCTTTGAATCCACAAGTTCTTCTCCTAACAGGTAGAATTAATCATGTTCTCCATATCACGGTAGAGAGCATTATTTATAGGGATTTTTGATAGGTTTGTCTCTCTTCTACCAGCTTATAGACTTCCTGAGACAGTATACGATCTTATTTCTTACAGAGATTATACTACCCACTATCTGACAGTCAACAAACTGGTTAAATTATTTAATCATAATAAATATTTTAATCCTAAAGCCTAGATAACATTTTAGATTTCAGAATATTCATATTTGCTTCCTTAAAACTTCTAGATTCTACTATGAAAATAAAATCACAGCACCTATAATTATGTCATTTTTTAAAATACAGAGAATTCAATAGCTTTGTTTTCTTATTATCACACCATTACTGGATATATGCCTTGTTCTTAAAAGGTTAAGTATCAAGAATAGTATTGAGGGAAGACTTGGCCAAAACTAGATTACGTATTTTTCTGGTGGATTATTCATGGGCACATCCTTTTATCTAGATTCAGAGTTTTGTGCTGACTTACCTGTCCACTGCTATAGCAACTAATGTAAAAACTGAAGCCGAGACTGATATCCCCTGGATCAATCCACTGATCTTACACATGCTATTTCCAAATGGCCATCCTGAAAGGGAAGAAGAACAATCTTTCAGAAGATCATCTTACTGCACTTAAGGAACAAATAGAAAAGTGAATTCAAGATGAATGCATTGTTTTCATCATGATAACTATGCTCAGTGCCTCCCAATATTTTTACTGGTTTCTCCAGAACATTTTTAAGGATAGTAATCACTACATTCAAGGCATTGAAATAACTATTTTACATCTATTAACATATAATTCCCATAACAAGAATTTGAAGATTTTATTTATTTATATAACAATTTTATTGTTTATTACATATATTTCCCTAATATGTGTATAGAGAAGTAAACAGCACAAATATCACATTTTATGTCAATGACAGTTAGCAGCACATTAAGGACTTGAACTAAGACTTCAGGTTTATAGCGTCTGAACCATTAACACTTTGTTTATATATAAAGTAGTGAAACAGTTTACATTATAGCTACTCCAAAATTAAGAGAACTTTTGCATAAACCAGATTAGTTTATTTTAACTATTTAACTGAACATTAACTCCTAGGAAGTCTGGGAAAAGGTACTAATAAAATTGTTAAAGCAGTTTGATTTTCTAAATACTTATCTGGTATTAAAAGGAAGTAACATTCTTTGACTTGCAAATATTCTATACATGTCATTCAGATTTTTAAATTTTACCTAAAAAATCCCATAGTTCATTTTTCCAAAACAAAATATTATTATCTAATTTTAAATAGCCCAAATAACTCATACATTACATATATATTAACATTTGATAGACTATTTCTTGTTTTAAGACAGGCTCTTGATATGTTGCTTTTACTGGCCTCAAACACACAATTCTCCCACCTCAGCCTCCAGATCAGTGTAGATTACCTTAAACTAGGTTCTTGAATCACTTGCTAAGAAGAGAAAATATATAGCCAGTCCTAAAATGTATTAGGTGATTATTTTTCAAAATATACAGATGTGATTATGTAGCCATTGATGGAACATGAAAGAATAATGCACGTTTTATATTGCAAATTTTATTTTATATTACTCACTCTATTGAAATGAGAGCACCAAGTCAAGAAGAGTCTAAGTCCATAGAAATTGAAGTGTGGAACACTACTAAGTGGATTTGGGGAAAACATGATTGGGAGAAATTATGTATAAATCCAATCAGTGGCCTCCAGCTTTCCCCCAGGCTACCAGAATGGCAGTCTGCCTGCTGAGGAGACAGAAGAACAGGTTGTCCTAATTCTAGGTCAGCAGGTGCACAAACAGTGGGTGCCACATGATGCAGTAGGACTGAGTGATGTCATACCACCGTGTAGACATTCTGCTGGTTCAGAGCCCCTTTCAGCTCGGAAATGCAGTGAACCAGCCTTACGTTCATGTGGGGGAAATCAGAATTTCCTTGAAGGAAAGTGACCTGTCCAAGAATATCAACATATAGATTTGATTTCCCAATTAATGTCCAGTTTACTGAAGCTGGGGTTGATGCAATCTCAAGTTCCAGCAACAGGAAACTAGCAGGAAACCGTGTAATGCTTTCCTCTAAAACAGTCCCTTAAATACCTGTTAGTACTAGTAAGCTTCAACTATAAAAGAAAGGATGAAAACACACACTAATAAGTGCTTAAAATGGAAAATAAAGCTATATTAATAACATCAGAAATACATTTTAGTCATGCAACATATATAAGGAACTATAAGAAACACCGATACTAAGAGAATTAAAGATGTAATGAAAATTGATGCATTCAACATAAAAGTTAGAAGGAAGCTAAGGAAATCTTTCCTTTTTCTTATTTGGTTTGAGGATCAAACCCAGGGCCTTGCAGATGTAATGCAGTGTTCTTCCTCCAAGCTTTAGTATCTCCAGCTTTGTTTCTGAGACTAAGTCTCACTATATGGCACAAGCTAGCTTCATACTTCTATTCCTCTTGCATCTGCCCCTGCCTCAACCTCCCGAGTGCTAGGAATATAGGTTTGTACCACCACACCTGGTGCTAAGAAAAGTATTGAAAAATAGAACAATAAGGGATGTAAAATAGAATAGAAAAGATTTTTAATAGCAATGATGACTCTCTAGCTTAATACAAGTCAAAGACAGGAAAATGAACTTTTCAAGAAGATATTGCCTTGGGTTGAAAAGCATTCATTTTTTGACTGAAATATCTAATGCATATCCAATACAATGAATGAAAAGCAGCAATACTTACTGCAAGGCTTTACTTTTATAAAATTCAGAGTACCAAAGATAAACAGAAATCCAAAAGGCTTTCAAGAAGAAGAATGATTAAAACAAGAGTGGAATAGTATGAGATTTTTCAGTAGCAATTACACATCTCTCTTTATTAACTAGAAAGTAATCCCTTTACAGTCAAAGGAAACAAATTTCTACCAGGATTTTCTTGCAGCTAACTATAATTAAGAGTGGAACAAAACACACACATACGAAGATCTCAAATATATTTGTGTCAATATATCATCTCTTAGGAAGGGCTACACCAAGAAAATAGAAAGCATGGAACCAGAAATTTCAGGGGACTGAACACACAGAGAGGTACCAAGAATTCTAAGTACTTATCTCAGAGTAATCACTGAACTACACACTTAGAAAGCAATGTGTTAGCTGGGTGCAAGTGGTTCATGCCTGTAATCCTAGCTACTCAGGAGGCTGAAATCAGAGGACTGCAGTTCAAAGCCAGCCCAAGTAGGAAAGTCCATGAGACACTTGTCTCCAATAAAGTACTCAGAAAAACTTAGAAGTGACACTGTGGCTCAAGGGGTAAAGTGCTAGCCTGAGCAAAAGAAGCTCAAGGATAGTGCCCAGGTCCTGAATTCAAGCATAGGATTGGCATAAAAAAAGAAAACAGAAAGCAATGTATTCAGACAGTAAAAGGAAATCTGAGGACACCAGAATAGTAGCTCCATGAAAAAGATGCTATTGACATGATACAGATGTTTGAATTATTACCTCAACAGCTATCCTCTGGGAAGAGAACTAGAGGACAGATTACTAATGTGCACAGTAATACTAAACAAATCAGTGTGCCATATCCTTAGGAAAACAATAGTTTTCTAAGAACTGGATATTCTATCTCTTTCTATGGTTCAGCATAGGTAACACAAAAGTAAAAGAGCAATATATGCTCTGGATATTGATTTAAAGAAAAAATGATTTTGTTATTTGGGGAGACTAAGAAAAACAAAGAATGTGTGTCACCTTGTGTTTATGTGGTGAAATTGCAGTGTGAGGATGAACTCGACATCTACAGTTTAAAGACAACCTGTGAACTAGAAATATGTTAACAATTACCAAAATCAAATGCAAAAATGTGGAGTGGCTGCCTGGTGGGGCTGGACATTATGAACTCTGGTGCAGTGATTGGTATGCAAAACTTAAAGTAATAATTTGATGTACAAACGCTTATAGGAGAAAATACTTCAAGAAAAGCAACTTACCTGAGAGTAACAGTAAATTTTAATGAATTTCTTCGTTCTCTTTTTGTCTACCACAAGATATTTACCATGTTGTATTCTCATTAAACATTTGCTTAGTGATAAATACCGCAAACAGAGTTTATGCAATATAGAATGGTTAGAATAAGCCCTCCGTTCATCTTGGCTTCTACTCCAGAGAAAGGAAGTAGATGGAGGAAGAGAAACCAGTTTTCCTATTCTTCATTAACCTTGTTGCCAGTCAGTTAGCCTGGATTCTTTTTCTAATACTCTGACAGTGAGAGTAGCTGAACAAGAGCTCTACTGCTAGGAGCAGATATGAGGGCCAAAGGCTTCCAGACTCAGAAGCTTATAGCTCTAAGTCCTGAGAAAAAGAAGCCATGACTCCAGGCTCTAGACTCTGATGAATGAATGAATGAATGAATGACTCTGTCCTATAGAGAATAAATGACTCTGCCCTGTGGAGAATAAATGAATGATTTTCCCCTATGATGACTGAAAGAATGGCCCTCACCCTTGATGAATGAAAAACCCTTACATTACATGAATGTCCTTGCCATGTGGTAAATGCATGAATGCCCCTGCCCTGTGATGAATGAATGAATGATCCTGCCCTGGCTCAAGGATACAGAGCAACATTCATCTTTACATTGCACACACATCATAAGCCAACATACCTGCTATGATATTGTCCAGCAGCGTTATAGGCATACAGAATATGCCAACTAGTAAATCACTTACTGCCAGGTTAAAGATGAAGAGATTAGTGACTGTGTGCATGTGTCTGTTCCTTATTACGATCAAGCAAACCATGGTATTTCCCACCATGCACAGGACAAAGATCAGGAAGTAGGAAATAATGAAGATGGTTGCTACTTGAGGCTGGTGGAGATAGTAGTTCACATAGGTAATATTGATATCTGTGGAAAGGTGATGCAGTGTGTCATTGTCATGCCAGAGGTGATACCAGTTTTCTGAAGAGTCTGGGTCCCATCCTTCATTCATGATGGAGCTTAACAAAGGAGAGGGAGAAAAGCATAATTAGAAACTAGTAGAATAAAAGCTGGATGCTTGAGTTTAGTCAGAGGAGCACTCTGGAAGCAGCACGGAATTTTAATTGGCCTGTGACAAAATCTATCGCTTTGCATGAAACTGAATTATAAATAAAACATTCTATTAGATGTTAACTAAGCATTAGATACCATCACTTTGTACCAGGTACAAAAAATATATTTTCTTTTCTAATACTCTTTATATTTTACTTTTACAGACATACCATCCATCCATTTGCAACTTTATTTCCAGAACCTCCTAACCTCTGCCTTCAGGTATTTTAACCTATCAAAACCTAATTAAAACATAATTAATTGTTCTTAGAAGGCTAGCTTACATGTCTCTAGTTCTTCTGGAGTCTGAATAAGTTAAGGTGTCTGCATCTTCAAAACTTACATAAAGCTTCTTGTAGTTACTGTTTTGTCTCTGTGAACCAAATGTTCTTTGTCCACCTTTTCTAATTATCTATCTATCTATCTATCTATCTATCTATCTATCTATCTATCTATCTGTTTTGTGGTGCTAAGAATAGAATTCAGGGACTTGAACTAGGTAAGCTTTTAGTTCATTTTTCAGATATTATCTCAGACTAACTTTTCTCCAGCTTGCTTAAACACAATTCTCCTACCACTGCCTCCTAGTAATTGGACCAAGCCATGTGTAGCTTATTATTGAGATAGGCTATTGTAAACTTTTGTCTTGGCTGTCTTTAAACTTTGATTCTCTTGTTTCTGCCTAAGAGGATGGGAATTACAGGTATGTACCACAATGCTAGGCTCTTTTATCACATACTTCTAAATAGCTACCATAGCTACTATAGTACAAGTCTCTTAAAATCAATCTAGGCTACTTGTTGAGCTTCATTTCATATAATTCTATTTACATAGAACAAATTATTATTGATTCTCTGTATAATAAAGTCGTACTTTGTATTCCAGATGTATCCAAGATAACTCCTAGGATCAGTGATTTATTAGGAAGTAAAAAGTTTCACGGGGAAAAATCTATAGGAAACTAGATACAAGCTCCCAAGAGTCCTTTCTCAATGGAACTACACAGGACATTTTTAATACTTCTCGTGACTTGCTATAACACTATGTGTAAATTGTTGTCTCCCTGGGAAGCTCCTTATAGACTCAACACCCCAGGTGTTCGCAGAAGAAAGCTCAAGTGCTAACTATTTTCCTGGAAAGGATCTCAGGTCTATACCTGCAGACACGATTCCTCACTTCCAGGCAGAACACAAAAACCACCACACAGAACATATAAACAACAGGCACAATAAGCCACTTTAGCCACTTTTATTACTTCAGTGATGAGTGTATCATTATAAAGAACTATCTACTTTACATTCCATATTACATTCCAACCAAGGATTTTGTAAAAAAAAAAAAAAGCACTTTAAATGATAATGCTTTGGTTCCATTAAAATCTTAAAATCTTTGTTAATTGATTAGACAGATGGTTATATGTGCCCATAATTGAAAATAAATCTGACAGTGGTCTTGTACAACTAGTCTCCATATTTACTGCTTGGAATAATTGTATGCAATTTAATCGGTAAAAATGAATTTACAGGGGAATGGTGTTAGTAGCTAATCAGATCCTAGTTTTTCTAATTTGGGGAGGGGAGGGGAAATAACAAAATGCTGAAACAAGGATACAGGTTGACCTATTGTCACTATGTTGAAAACAAACTTTACAACTCTGGAGAGGTAGGGGAGGAGTTGGGGGGGGAGGGAAGGGATAGCAGAGGAAAAACAAAGGAGGGGGTGACAATGCTCAACAGGAAATGGTCGCATTACCTTACTCATGCAACTGTAACCCCTCTATACAGTACCTTTACAATAAAAAAATTAAATATAAGACCTCTGAGGCATTAAGTGACTCATCCTCCTTATTCAGCATTTTCTTATCTTTTTTTAAATAAGTTTTTTTAATGTGAAAATATTGTACAGAGGGGTTACAATTACATGAGCAAGGTAATGAGTACATTTCTTATCAAGCATTGTTGCCTCCTCCTTTGTTTTCCCCCTACCATCCCTGCCCTCCCACTTTTGCAACTATGTGGGTTTTTAAAAAATCATTTTGGTCTGTAAGTGTTATAAAATTATGCAGTAATCACTTAATTGATTTTGGGTGGCTTTATTTTTTAATTTATATTTTAAATTTTATTTTCTTGTAAAAATGTTGTACAGAGAGTTACATCAGTAAGGTAATGAGTGCATTTCTTGTCAGACATGGTTACCCCCTCCTTCATTTTTCTTCTACTATCCCTTCCCTCCCTTACCTCTCCCACTCTCACCCCAAAGGTGTAAGGTTCATTTTCAACATAATGTCTTGTGAGTATCATAGAGAAAAATCCCAAATAACCTAGATTTGCTTGCTCTTAGTTGACTTAAAGTCTATTTCAGTAATCACAAAGCTCACTACCCTTGCTGTGGAAGAGACCTCTAACTGAAGTCACCTAATGGGATACAAATTATTCTCTCAGCAAATATCCTCTGGGGGTAAAGTTACTTTTCTCTATCACCCAGGTTTTTAGAAGGTAGCTTTCTAGTATCTTCTCCCTTCTCCAGGGAAAAGATGCCTTTTGTATACTAAAATTGAACTTCAGAAGTAACTATTCGAGGACAAAGGAACTAAAATACATCAGTTATAAGGTTTTCTAATCAATAGCTTTTCTTTAGATTTACAGAACCTAGACCATCCAAAGACTGACATATAACAGCAGGCTGCTTACCAGAAAAACAGATTCTTGAAACGTGTAATTGGAAGTTGCAACTCTCTTGATACCTACTTATTTGACATTTTTTCCTACTACTCCTTAACTAATCTTTCTACCTGTTACTGGAAGGAAGGTGGTTTTTGTTGGTAATGGACAAATACAACTCATAATGGCTTACATGTAAGACCAGAGATTACAAAGTCACTATAACAAAGCATAGGGAAAAGCTATTGATTTTGACACTGATTCCTTTGGATTCAACTCTTGAAGTACAGATCATATAAATATAAGAAAAATGGAATATATTAACCTAAAAGCTTCTGCATAGCAAAGAAAATAAGAATATATTTAGCAAGCCTACAGATTGAGAGCTAATAGCGAATAGAAGACTAACATCCAAAATACACAGAGAATTCAGCAAGAATAAAACACCCAAATTAAAATTGGACAAAGAATATAAACATTTCTCCAAGATATACATATAGCCCATGGATACATAGAAATGTTCAACCTAACTAATCTTTAGGGAAATGCATAATCAAGTCAGTAAGATATCATTGGATACCTGTCAAAATGGCTGTTATCAAATAGACAAAAGACAACAAATATTAGCTAAAATGTGAGCAAAATGGAAGTCTTGTATGCTGCTGGAAAACCATGGTGAGAACTAATGATTCCTCAGAAAACTGAAAATAGATTATCATATCACCAGAAATTCCATCTTGGGGTACTCACCAAAAATTTAAATGCAATTTTCTGAAAAGATGTATTATTTCCCATGTTTATTGCAGCATTATTCACAACAGCCAAGTTAAGGAAATGAGATAAATACCCACAAAAAGAAAAATGGGTAAAGAAAATTATACAATGGAACATTCTTCGGCTTCAAGAAAAAATGAAATTATGTCAATATGTAGTTAGAATCCAAAAACATTGTGCAAAAATGAAATAAGCCAAGTACAGGAAGACAAATATTGACTGTTCTCATTATGCGTGGAATCTAAAACAATCAGACTTACAGAAGCAGAAAGAAAAATGTTCATAGATCATAAATCATCAATTTATAGCTTAAAAGAGAAACATAATTTGAAATGATCTCCCCATCTTATAATTACTAATAACAAAGTAAAAATTATAACTTTTCAGTGGAAACCTGTCAAGTACTGCTTTAAAATATTCACATTAGCATTTCTAAATTGTACTATTAAGTACCTATCTTACAAGAACATATCATGTCCTAAATTTTCTTGTATAACCTAAATTATGTTTATAACAAAACTACAGGTTTTAGATTATATTTACTTTTTCTGTTATAGATGCATGTTATCTTTTTCTCTCTCCCTCATCATTTTACACTGCATTAGAAGGTGGTTCACAACCAAATTCTTAGGACCTAAAAGCATGATTGAATAGGAACTAGTGGGTGGAAAACACTAGTTGAATGAGCAATTTTAAACAAAAATGAACATAAATGGCTAAAGCTTGTATTTTTTCCTTTAAAAAAAATAGTCATGGAATTTGAACTCAGGGTTTCACAGCTAGGCAAGTACTTTGTAGCTTGAGCCATGCCTGAGTACCTACATCCCCCTTCTTTTCTGCTCTTCTGACTTTTGAGCTAGAGTCATATTTGCCTGGGCCACCCAGTGATTTTCCTATTTACATTTCCATACATAGCTGTAATGACAAGTACACAACACTCTGCCCAGTTTTTGTTGTGGCCTTTGTTTTCATTTTGAGATGTATTTCTCACTACAGTTTTACCCAGGCTGACCTTAAACTGTGATTCACCAGATCTCTTCTTTTGAGTTACTAGGATTACAAGTATTTGTCTATGGTAGCTGTGTAACTCTAGGTAAATTATTTAATTGCTTTGTGCTTCAGATTCCTCATCTCAAAAACAAATAAATAGTAATTATACAAACTTTATAATGTTACCTGGTTTTTATAAAATAGTTGGAGCTAGAATTTATTGTGTGCATACTGTGTGTCATGCTCAGTGCTAAGAAGTTTTATATTCCTATGCTAATTATATTCTTACAATAGGACTGCCAGGTAGAAAATCTTCACAATAACTAAAGATCACATCAGTTAGAAGCAGATTTAAATGCTGCATCACTAAATAACACCAACATCCCACTAGAACAGCTTCTTGGAGGAATTTGGTAAATGGTATCAGCTTTTACAAGGTAAGGAGCTTCCCTCCTATCTCTTAAATTGCCACTTC